GTTCAGGGGTGAGGGGGTGGGGAGGGGGGAGGGGGGCAGCCAGCAGTTGGGACGGCGCAGAGAGCGCGGGCACGGCAGGAGGGGCGGACATTCACAACCCAGCACGTATGCTGGGCTGCGGCTTCTGTTGCCCTGGCGCACAAACCCTCAGCGCCAGCGGCGCCGCCAGGATCCACCAGGCCCACACCGCCGGGCGCGACATCGCTCGCGCCCCCGCTTTGCTGCGCAGGCGCCCCAGTCCCCTGCCCAGTCACCACTCACGCTGTGGCTTTTGTCCCCCTGCCCCGCGGGCGGGGCGGCCGCGGGCGGCGTCTGCAGCAGCGCGGCCTCGTCGCCGTCGAGGGCTGCCCTGATGCACTCCAGCAGGACGTGGTGCATGCGCGCGGCGCAGTGCTTCGCCGCCTCCGCGCCACCGTGGCCGTCGTACACGCCAAAGTAGTGCAGGGCGTCGATGCCGCCGCCGCCGCCGCCGCTGACGCCCGACCCCGAGCCACCGCCCGCCTGGCTGCCGCCCCTGATCAGCGCCTCCTGCTCCCCGCCGCCGGCCAGGTCATCCTGCAGCCGCTTCGACTCGCGGCTGGCCCGGCCGATGCAGCCGCACGAGGCCGCCGCGCTAGCGAGCGCGCCGGCGGCCACCGCAGCAGCGCCCATGCTCGTGCGGCGCGCTGGTGCGGTGTAGTCTGTCGGCACGTCGATCATGTTCGGCACAGCGGCCCACTTGTCCTCCATCGTGTAGCGCAGGCCCCACACCGCCTTGGTGCCGAAAGGGGGGCAACTGCCCAGCTCCTCATCCTTGGGGATTGCGTGGCCCTCGCCCGCACCGCCGCCGCCGCCACTGCTGTCGTGGCCGTGGCCTGAGCGCGACGAGCGATGCTGTTGATGCTGCGGCCGTTGCTGCTGCTGCTTCTGCTCCTGCCGTCGCTGCTGCTGCTGCTGCTGCTGCTGCTCGTCTTCTTGCTGCTGCTGAAGTGACAATGAGGAACTGTCCTGCGCGGCACTGCTGGGCGCGACTATGGATGCGCCGTTGGCTGCGGGGGACGAGGCGCTCTGGTTGCCATTGGCGTTGCGGCTGCTTGCAGTCTGCTGTGGCGGCGATGGCGACAACGTCACAGCCTCAAGCGCGGTCGCTGCTGCGCTGGCTGTGGCCGATGCATCCTGCCGCTGGGCCCCTGCTGATGCTGGCGGTGCTGCAGGCACACCTGCTGCATGGCCTGCCGCCACGCCCAGGACCCCACCTGGAGGGGTCGAGCGCACGCGCGAGCGCATGCGTGTGTGAAATCAGGTGTATGAGTATATGCGTGCGCACGCGCGTGTAGGGCAGTGTTTGAAACCAGTAGTAGTTGCCCATTGCCGATGTTGCGGGAGGCCAGGCCAACTGGCGTGGCCCTTGCGGCGGGAGCCCATGCTCCGAGCCCCGCGCACCCTGCTGCAGGGCGCTGGAGGCCCCTGTCTCCATGGTAATGGATTTTCGCCCACCCATGCCACCTACAGATGCGTAGTGCGACGCACGGTGTGACCGAGAGCAGGCGAGTTCGCAGGGCAAGGATCCCCAAGGTGCGCATGCAGAGAGATCAGGAACGCCTCTCGCTGGCAAGCAGCGCTCACGTGGTCGCGAAAGACCAAAGCGATCGTCCTCCTCGGGAGGCGCGGGGGCTACCAACGCCTGGGTGGCTGAGGGGGCTTCAGGCGCATCCTTTCGGTCCAGCAGCTCCGTTGTCTTACGCTTGATGGTCTGCCACAGCTTCCCCATCTTTCCTCCCTGCGCTAGCTGCTCAGCATGTAGGCCCGCGATCGATTCCGGTGTGGAACGGGCTTTGCGGCTTGTGCAAAAACTTGGGGCGATAAATATGCTCGGCTTAAGAAACTGATTTCCTTTGTGATTGACTGCATGCCCTCCCCTGCGGGATGCGGGCGGAGGGGTGCCGCAGGCGAATTTGAGCGCCGAGTCATCCTGTCGTCGGGCCGGTGGACGGCAGGAAGGTTAGTGAGCAATGGTTTGTCGACCGGCAAAAGCATCGAGCCCCCTGGCCCTCCAACTGTAAAATCTTGCATGTGCTGATGGACCGCGAGCTGGGATCCAGCCGCTGGAAGATCGCAACCTGCGCTGATGCCCCGAGCTGCCCACGAACACTGGGGTCTTTACACACACAGCTCCATCCCCACTTCGGGCCGTCCGTGACTGTCCATCTACCGCCGCCCACACTCCACTATGATGACCAGCATCAGCGCCACCTTTGAGGAGTGGGGTGGCCGTGCGCGTGGCAGTCGGAGGGGGCTTTGCAGGCGCGTAGAGCGAGGCCGGCCTGGCCGGGTCAACTGGGCTGGGCGTGCCTACGATGGACATCAACGAGATGCCTTTGCGCTACTCAGAATCAGGCATCGCTTTTGGAAGCCACTTGCCCCATCGCGACATGTAGGGACCGCAGCTGAGGACGAGAGCGCAAGGGGGGGGGAGCAGCAGGCGCAGTTGATCCCGCACCCCCGCAATGCCACAGGGGGCGCAGCCCACCAGCGTCACTTGCGTGGGTGAGGGGGAGAACTTGTAAGCTGGCCTGAGTGGTGCAGGTTCAGGGGTGCGAGCAGCGAGGCAGCTGTGGTAGGCGGTGGTGTGGGACCAGGTAGCGGCGGCCGCCACCACAGACCACTGCAACCGGGTTGTCCTGGATGCATGGAAGAGGCGTGCAGGGCAGGGTGCGCAACACACCCTTACCCGACCCACACCCTCCAGGGTTGCGCGCACCCGAATATGCCCTCCAGGTAGCGTAGGTACGCCTTGAACACTGAGGGCGACGCATGGAGTGGCGACATAAAAAAATGCGCGGGTGAGGAGTGGGTGGGGGCGCCTGACTGGCTAGCTCAACATGCCTGCCCAAACCGCCAGCGCGGCCGCAAGCCGCTAGCAAAACGCTTCCGGCCAGTCACGTTTGTCGCGGTCAATCTCGCGTGCCCATGTCTATCACGACCTGGCGCAAGCGAGTCCAGAGCCGGCGTTTTGTCGAGGTGCAGGGTGACGCCGCTTATGGCGTTGAACGCAATGGAGAACTGCAGAAGGCCAAGGGTGGCCAGACCCATGTAAATGGTTGGTGCAAGCAGCAGATACACAATGCTGGCCATCGTGCTGCCACCCCACGCGTGTGAGGGGCGGCCTGATTGATTGATGAGCAGCGCTGCAAATGCTTGCGCGCTGTGCCGCGCCGTCCACCGGCGCAGGCGGCAGGGAGGTCGATTATGTTGGGTGCGCTGAGCACGACTTTGAGGCCACTCGATGCCGTCGAGAAATGAAACCAGGCTCGGAATGGACAATCACGGGCCTCGAAAGTTTGCCGAGATCGCCTCTACTGTAGGTATTGATTGGATCAGCTGCCTGAGTGCCTGTAAATCAAGAATTTAAACGGCCAAGGTGCTGGAGGGAGCACTTAGCTCGAGACAGTGAGCACACATGATCCCAAACCGCCGCCCCCTGACTGCATTTGTGCACGTATGACGCCCTTTGCTGGCTAAACAACTGCACACAATTTTTTACAATAGCTCTCGCATCAGTTTTCTACGCAGAGCTCCCTCGCCTCCCCCTCTCCACGACCGTGCCAGCTTCCCCTCACCGTTCGCTTGCTGTGTGACCGGCTTCGCCTTGCATCTTTTCAGTACTGTCACCATCTTGACTTTGACATCTTGAGCTCTTCATTGCCGTGCTTGGGGCCGCAGTCACCCGATTTAGTTGGACGTCCACACTGCAGATCAGAGGACAGGGTGCGGGTACAGGCTCTTGACACGATGCCAGCAGTCATGGACACCGACGGGGTCAAGGACGCACCGGCGCAGCCTCGCAAGGAGTGGCCCTATGTCCAGGTGTGCGGCAGCGGTGGGGACAAGATGAGCGGGTTTGGGGGGCGCAGAGCGGCGATGCCATCTCCGGCCAACCCTGCGCCTCCGTGCCGCAACGGGTGTATAGCGTACACCTGGGCGCCATATTCCAGTCTACCAGATGCTGCAGCCAGCCCAGATCACCATGTGCACGGCTGTAGCGCACGCCCGGCCCAACGCGGCAGCCGCCGCACCCTTGACCAATCCAACCGAAAACCGCGCCACCCGCCAGGACAAGCGGTCCTTCTATGACCAGTTCCAAGACCTGAAGGGCTGCACTGACCTGAGCCTTCTGGACTCGGCCTACCCCAAGCCCTCGCTGGCCGCGCAGCGCGCTGCGCCGGGCGCCGTCACCACGCCGCTGAGTGACGTTGCGGCCCGGCCCGTGGAGCGCCCGCTCCTGGCAGCCGCGCCCAAGACGCTCACGCCCGAGCAAGTGGTGGCGCAGCAGCGGTTCACCTTTTTCTGGCGCGGCTTTGGTTTCCTCTGGATCCACGCCTGCGTGCTGACGGTGAGCGGCCCGGCCCCGGCAGCGGCGGGCCCCTGCGGC